ACCCTACAATCTGAATGTCGCAGCTAAAATTGAGACTCATCAGACCAGGTCATGTTTTCCAATCCTATATTGTCCAATTTCAGTGGGCCTGAGTGAATTGTAGCCTAAGTTTCGTGATCTCAGACGAGCGGAGTGGCACCCATGTGGTCTTCTGCTGCTGTAGCCCATCTGCTTCAAGGTTCAGCATGTTGTGTATTCAGAGATAATATTCCCCATTATTTGGTTGTAATGATTTGACTTACTGTTGCTTTTCTATCATTTCAAACCAGTCTGCCCATTCTCCTCTGACATCATCAGTGGGCAGCTGTAGCTCACTTGGTAGAGTCTGATCTCCTAATCAGAAGATTGGAGGTTCGATGCCAGAGCTGTCCACATGCAGAACTGTGCTTTGGTAAGACACTTTACCCTGCCTGCCCCCTATGGCTGTGCCTAGTTGTTTTCCAATGTACGTGAAAATCCCAGTCGATCGTTAGTTTCTGAAGTATTCAGACCAGCCTGTATGGCACCAACAACCATACCACATTCAAAGAAACTTAAATACAAATCTCTATGCTTGATTTGAACTTCAGCAAGTAGTCTTGACCACATCTGCATGCCTAACTGCACTGAGTCTCCACCATGTGATTGACGGACTAACTATTTGTGGTAAACAATTAAACAGGAGCACCTAACGAAGTGGCTGAGTGTAGTTGCCATGGCTGTGATCTTGTCTTTTGACAACTTTTAATAGCTTATAAGGAATTTTGTTTGAGTTCTAAACACATAATAGTCTGAATTATTTCATTATAGCCACTGAGCTTCTAAATTATTTAGTTTATCTATTGATATTTAAGGATTAAATATCAACTGTTTAAATGACAGACAAACTCACTATCTGTAATGTTCCTGTGAACTTTGTCAGCAGATGGCAGGTTACAAGACTCACAAACCAAGTCAAGCATACATGCGTCTCCTGGATTTTCTAGGCTTTTGTCCAGATGCCAAAATGCAGTCTTTTTTTTTATCCAAGTGAAGCGAGGATACTGACACACCTTCAGGGTTTTTCAAAATCTGCCTCCCTCCCTTCTCATGTTGATGGTAAAAGATGAATCCACTTACATCTGTCAGAATGGTTGAATTATCTCTGGGGGTCTTTAACCTTGAATGTGCTGTGTGTGGGTTGTTGTGTAGTGCTGTATCCTCTGGTGAAGGAGGCATAGAGATTTCAGTGATTTTTTCAGGTGGAAGAAAATGTCCATTTCCTTTAAGCCTTGACAAGAAGCACCCCTCAGGTAACTCCCACCTGCCCAATAATATCCTTCAGGACCACCACCAGAGATGTCAGAGCCTCAGTATTTATTGAATAAAAGTCAGAGGAAATGTTTCTGTGCAAAGTTCACATGCACAGGGGGGTGGTAAAATCTGCCTTCTCATTCGAAGACTTCATACTGTTAAAGTACCAAAAAGTCAGAAATGAATCGACCTCATTAAAGAGTCTGAAACATTTAATCTCACCACTCCTTATTGAATTCTTACAAAACTCTGCATCAGGGGGGTAATTTTCTAAAATTTGCTGTTGTAGCAGCAACATTTATCGCCTCAACTGCCTCTTGTGTTTCATCTACTTCACTGGGCCATATTCATCTACAATTTTGGATCCAAGAGGGTGTTTTGGCATTTCAAATGTTCTCTAAAAATCTCTGAATGAGGTCATTTCAGGACTTGAACTGGCGAATGCGGACAAATTGAAGTAACACACTGAGATGTGTTGAAATACATTTGACTTGACTGTAAGTGAATAAAACTAAGCAGAAACTGAATGTGACTTGTAACATATTTAAAGTACAAAGACAATAGATACAACTCTGGGTAAAATATACACTGATACATAGGATAAGATTTTTTTTATTGGTGGCATATTGCTTTGAGTGTGTTCACGTGCATACTAGTTCACCTGCTGTCTTGTTCAGTAACAGTTCTTGCTAGGTAGCCAGAAGAGGTAGCTCAAATCATGAGTTTTGTTTTGATATATATTTCGGTAAAAAGACAACTTGGATTCTCTTTTGACTAAATTTTGAACATGAAGTACATGAGGCTTGATTTGGGAACTTGGCTTCAACACTAGCTCAACTGTTTTTTTTTTTTTTTCATTTTCTTGGGGTGGGATCTGATTCCCATTTTGGGTTGTGATGCCAGCAACAGGTTTCAAAATATTAGGGCAGGTCTGGCAAAAATCTAAAAGTTTGTGAGCACCCTCCAATTAATAAATTGAATTAAATTAAATTTTAATAAAGTAATAATTAAATTAAAAATAAAACACAAAGATACCAAGAGGATCACTGCACATTGAATATGATGAACTAACTTTGTAATTTATGATTATTTCGGTATGTCCTTAAACTGACTGGCACAGAATTTTAGATTGGGTCATACAGATTCTAGACAGGCAAAGTATCAAATCTTAAATTAAGATGAGCAAATTACAAATGAAGGCATCATTTCTGTTAAATTGTTACAGTTATAAAGCAGTTCATCCTCATGATACACTTATTTTATTCCACCGGTGCTCATCTGCACGATGAGTAACAGCTTCCATCTTCAGGTCACCAGAGTGTTTGCAGTTATTAACTTTTTATCTCTACTTCTGATGTCAGCCTATAATTATAAAAAGCCTCCACTGTCACAGAAGCTTTGCTGCATCACCTCCTTCTTGTAAGACTTCACTAAAGTTTCATCATGCACACAACCTCAAACTTTCTGAGCAAAAAACCTCCAGGGACTCTCTCAAGGACGCATTATGAAATGTTCATGCACATCTGATAAATTGTTAATCAAAAGACAACAATCATACCAAGTGGTAGACTGAAGAGGTTTATTCTATATTCTACAATACTTATTTCCATGTATTGTTTTAGCATAAATGCATAGAAATCAAGAGGCATACAAGGTACAAGACTCAATGATTTCACTTTAATCATTTTGAAAACAGCTGAGTAGAAGAGGGTCTTCCTTTGGGCCTTGATTCTGGGCTGCTCGTTGATGAAATATCCCCCAAAATATATATTTTTTTGCACTCACAAGTGTTCCATCAAGTTTTTTTTTTTTTTTCCCAATATTGTTCTTAGATGTAAGTATTTTTTTTTTAGATTTAGACTTGGGGCAGAATTGTACAATATTGACCAAAATACAATATATGTGAGCACCAAAGTGAAATTGACCTTTGACCTGTTGGGTTAAAATGGATAAGTCTTTAAATTCTGATTTGTTGATCATATTTCCAATAGTAATCTGAGCCTTTTTAATAGTTTTTTTCGAATGTTTGACTATTAAATTTCAAACTGACAAAATTCAACTCCTAAGTAACAACCTCAACCCCAGCAGTAGACTTAAACAAATGAACCCACTGTGAAAATTTTTTCCTGTTGAGGGTGGGAGTTTATTCTCACTGTCTGCTCTCCCTCTGTGCCAAGCTCTTATTGTTCAGGTCATGGGGGACTTACAAAATCTGAGCCAGGATAACAAGTGTCATTTCAACTCTGAGCATACAGTATTCATTAAAACTTGCTTCACACAAGCTGGCTTAGTCCTACATACAAGTATCCACATCTGTCCCTGTGAAGAAATGGGAAAAGCTGAATCAAGGGCAAAATACGATGTGAAAAAAGATCAAATATTTAAGTCATGTAAGAAGCACCTTGAACTGATGTTTTGTCCATATAAAGTGGAAAATGAACGAAATTCAAGCAAGGTGACAGGAGCATGCTGTGACTCTAGTAAAACTCCAGAATTTACTTAAGACGTTCAGTTTTTAGTCAGGGACTGTAAAAATTGTTTGGTGGATGCCTAACATAAGAGAATGCGTTTAGCAGTGTCATGCTAAACGTAAGTTAGGATGGCAGTTTAGCGGGAGTGTCGACCGGACAACAGTGGCCCGGAATCTCTAGTTGCGTGGTGGAGATTTGTGCGTTTGGCAGTGGTAGGACACCTAGTGTTATGGCATCTGTGGTCATACACCCATGTTGCCTAAGTGCTGTCCCACACAAGTAGTTTGCCAAGGCAGAGGTAATGGATGTCTTTGTTGAGAGTGCACATGCGTAAGTTAGGGGCTAAATAGGAGTGATGGTGAGATGAAGCCTCTTGAAGCATTAAAGCTTTCCATCCAACTGCTTCACTTGTGGGCTAAAGCTTTATTGTGCTTCATTTGCTCTACTGTGCCATTAGAGACTGCATACAGCTGAGTGCGTTCAAGCACTGCCGTTATTTGGACTTGAATGCCCTGGGTGAGGTGGATCGGCTTTTGTGAATCAGGACGGTCTACATGATGAAGTTCTTAATATGGTGGACTTCCTGGTTGAGCTGCCAAATGTCCCTGCCCTCAGGCTTGCGTCATGACTGACTTGAATAAAAGCTGCGGATCGCAGCTGGGTCCTCCAGCGGTTTTTTGCCGGCGCTGACGCCGACACCAGGGAGGACTTCAGACTGAGCAGAGAGTCCCTGGCAGTGCTGCTGGACCTCCTCCAACAGGAGCAGAGGCATGGATGGGGTGCCACAATAGAGACTCTGGTTTTGCTTTTCTGGCTGGCCACTGGGGCATCATGCAGGGTGGATAAAACGGTGAGAACGTCATATTTCACGGCAGAAGAACAGGATATTATCCTGCGAAAGTACGAGGAGTTCCGAGAGGCAATCACAGCAAAGAGCAACACGGCCGCAGAAGCCGGAGGGACTGCTGGCAAAAAATTGCCGATTGTGTTAATGCGTAAGTCACTACGATGAAGATATTAATGTGTCATCACGATGGCATGGATAGATGTCGCTACATTTGTGCGTTCATTGATTTATGGTCCTCAAATGTGTTGTCATTCAGTGTTTGATCACTATCATCATCGACCTCATGATTTCAGATGCAGCAGCAGTGGGGAAAAAGAACGTGGGAGCAAATCCGAAATAAATATAAAAACATCCTTCAGAGTGGTTATTGGCAGATTGTATTTGTACATATTTGCAGCACATAAGAAAAAATGTGCGGCCAAAAAAATGGGGGAGGGCCAGCTCCAGAGGACTTCACTCCGGCTGAGGAGCTGGCCCTCTCCTTAAACAGGGGTCGCCCAGCCACTGAGGGCATCGAGGGTGGTGTGACTTCTGACCCTAGTGGAGGTAGCAGCTCGCAGAGCTCCTGCTTTGTACAGGGTACGTTTCAGTGAGGCAAAGGCAAACCACTGACTTGCTCAAAAAGCACAGAGTTGTTTGTGAAAAGGTGACTGCTAATGTTCTAATGTTTCTCCCCAGGGGACAGTGACACACTGGCTGTCACGCTGCTACCTCCACCCAAGCAAACATTTCCCAGTACAGAGGTAACTGCAAATTCAACGAGCTATCACATAATTCACCTGTGGCTGCTGATGATTCCTTCACCCAACAAAACCTTCGTCATCATGGATGTAGGTGGAGGTCATTGATGATGAGACTCTCTCAGCCTGCTCAGAGAGACCATGGCCGGTACAACTTAGTCATTGTTCTCTTCTAAAGTGGTTCTCACAGTGGTGGGGAGATTGTGGCAGTTATTTAACAATGGCAAATTCCACAGGTCTGTTGCTGGGAATGATAAGTGTGCTCACATGCTCTCTCATTCTGTTACTCAATTTCAATTGTTCTTCTTTCACAGGAAGAGGCAAACCCAGCTTCCCCTGAGCCAGTGGCCTCCACCTCTAGACCAGCCAAGACAAGGGAATCACAAAATGTAATCCATTTTCACATTAACCAAAGTTTTATAAGCACATTTTCAAGCACACAATGTAAAGAGGCAAATGCTTGGACATTGAAGCAACTGCATGTGTTTGATTTCAGCCTGGGCCGACACAGTGAGGGCGCTATACAAAAGACAGCTGGAAGAGGACATTGCGTGCAAAGCACTCCAAGAGAAAGTGTTACAGCTCCAAATCAAAAAATTGACACTAGAGGTGGAAAAACTGGAGTATGACAAACAGGTAATGCAATTTCTTGTCTAAAGAGAAGCAATGGCAATTTCACATGTGATCATCCTCCAAAGAAATTAGGTTACATCTGCCCTGCAGTGGGCAGTGGGCTGCACTCATGCTCACAGAGTACAGTTGTGGAATAAACTAATGTTTTTCCTTTTTCTTGCAGGAAGGTAAAAAAAAAGGACTTTCCCAATAAAATCAAAATACAAACCAAAATCACGCTTCTCGTGTGAAAAATTGTTCGGTTATGGCCTCCCGGACAGCCCTCCCTGAAGGGAAGTCCACGGTGATGGGGTCCACATGATGCCAGAGTACTCTGGCACAGCCCACTGTACTGGCAGAATGTCTACCCTCCTCCAGGGCATTTCATCCTCGCAGATAGCGGGTACCTGTGCCTCCAGCACCCAATTCCCCTAATCACTCCCTATAAAACAGCCTGTGGGAGTTGTGGCAGCCCAGCGCTTTAACAGGCATCATGCCAGGGCACGCTCTGTTATGGAGCGTGCCTTTGGCATGATGATAACCCGCCTCCGGGCCATCTTTTTGAAAGCGCTGGAGATCCACAACACCTTTGTGCCACAGGTACATCATCACTGCACACAATGTTTTTGTTATACTAGAGTGTATAATTAATTAAATAAATACATGATCACTTATATATTATTAGGTCTATATACACTTTATGTTCTTATAAATATTCCTCTCAAATACTCAGGTCATCACTGCTTGTGCCATCCTGCACAACATCTGCCTGGGTGCCAGTGACACCATGGCACTAGAAGATGATGTGCAGGGCGGCATGCCAGAGGATGAGTTGGAGGACAGACTGGAGGCCGTCAGTGGTGCCCTCTGGCGAGACCAATTGTCTGTAGAGGTATCAGTCCTGGAGGAGGTGGACCATGACCATGACTACCTGTAATTGGCAAGTACAATTCATATAAAGTTTCTCCTCCGTGTGGCACAGAATGTATTTTGGTTAGTGGTGGGCTTCTTTCGACCTCAGAAGATGTGACCTAAAACTTGTTGGACTGTTAGTCTACTCTTGTCTCATTCTTTAAAACAGGCATGGCAGACATTGAGCCAGCCCTGCAAACCCAGACGATGTGGATGACAGTGGAGACATGAAGCCCAAACACCCAGTCCACCCACGTGATGTCCTACTGCCAGTAGACACCAGTCTCTGTTGTGGTGTCCCATCCAGCCCAGCAGCACTGCCAGAGAAACCTGCTCAGCCTGGAGAAAAGGAGGCACCGGAACAGGGGCAGGCGGTAGCCCAGGGTCCTGCGCAGGAGGGGGGGCCGCTTAAGTTTCCTAAGTTGTGTTTATACAGAGTGGTGCCCATTTTATTTAGCATTTTGCCAGTTTACTGTTGACCTGAGTATTTTATTTCTTTATTTTGTTTTCATTTTCCTCACCCTTTAATAAAAACAAATGACTCAAATGAAAACTCTGAAATGTTTAAGTGAGGAAGTACTGGATGCTGTCTGGCCACCCTGTTGCCAATATAGCTTGAGGAGGAACATATGAATGGACTGGAAACAGTGTAAGCAATGTTCAAATTCTTTAATAAATTAAATACCATTTATAATGTTAAATAATACAAAAAAGTAAATAGAACACCTCTGGTTGCTCCTCTAGCAGCCACCCCTCTGGATGGGTGGCTGCTAGGTGATAACGGCTATCCACTGAAAACGTGGTTGATGACGCCATACATTACACCTTCAACAAGACAGCAACGTGTTTTTAACAGTGTCTTCAGCAGTGCTAGGTCAGTCATTGAACGTACTTTTGGAATCCTCAAAATGCGTTTCAGATGTCTGGACCGGTCAGGTGGTTCATTAACATACAGCCCACAGAGTGTCGGTGCATTCTTTGTGGCATGTTGTGTTTTACACAACATAGCTATACGCCATGGATGCCACTACGACCTCGCCGAGGACACATTACTGGACTTTAGACAGAGAGAGGCCGAATTGCATGTGCCATGTCAGCAGGGAGAGCAGCAGAGCGCGCAGGTGAGGAGGGACCGCCTCGCAGCACAGCTCTGCCCTTAAGTGTGAGTATTTGCTTTCATTCATTTATACACTTTTTGTAATTATCCACATTAAAACATCCAATAAATAGTCAAACATGATTGCATTAACAAGTGTTTTTATTGTGTTTCTCCCCTCCCAACCCCCCTTCTTCTTCTTCTTCCTCCTCCTCCTCCTCCTCCTCCTCTTGGGTCTGGACGCTGCAGTCGGTCAGTCAACCCAGGGGGCCGCCCCCCTCTTGTGCGCGGCCTCAGCGGCCACCTGGGACAGGCGGGGGCGGATGATTCTGCTGGTGGCAGCAGCCTTTCGGCTACCTGGACCAGCCGCTGCAGTGTCGCAACACCAGCGGCTAAGGGGAGCAGGCTGGCCTGGAGGACCTCCTGGAGAGCCTTCACCTGGGCCTCCAGCGACCCAAGCCGCGTCCCCATCGACCCCAGCTCCCTCTCCAACATCAGAAAACCAGCCCGCTGGGTGTCCAGGAAGGGCTGGTCCTCCCGCTGAACGCGGTTTCGTCTCCGACCCCGTGTTGCCGGCTCGTCTCCATGTCCTGCCCCCTCCCGCGTCTCCGGCACCGGCTCCGGCTCCGGCTCCCCCTGGTCCTCCTCCTCGCGGTCATCTTCGTCCTCTCCCTCCTTCTCCTCCCCCCCGACCACCTGCTGCTGCTGTTCTTCCTCCTCCTCCTCCCTTGTGGTGTGCTGCTGCCGCGACGGCGGCAATTCTGCCGAGGCTGACCAGAAATTTTATTTTAGTAAATCACAGAAATTCTTTTTTTTAAAATGTTAATACTTTCATTTAGAATAAAGAAGTTAGAAATTGTGTGAGCAAAGTTCATTTCAGATGCAAACATTAGCGGAAAGGGGGAGAAAATACAATCAGGCTTTGTTTGATCCGTCTTTACGCACAGGTGGTTCCGATTTCAATCCCATTACGCATGGCATTTTTTCAGATCACCTGTGCACACAACACACCTTAGTAACACGTGGTTAAATATACATGTTAGTGTCTTTATTTGTGGAAAAGAATGTTTGTCTTACCTGTGAGTCCAACCTCAGAGACACCAAACCCCTCGATACTAATTTTGGGGAGTGTGGAGGACGCCACGTCCTCCGCAGGGCTCAGCACCACACTCGTTGAGGGGCCGCCTCCGGTCGTTGCAGTCTGGCGACGGTGTTGGGATAATTTAAGTTTAGCCCGTCGTCTAACATCATTGAACCGCTTTTTGCATTGCGCAGCGGTTCTCAGCACGTCCGGGCAAACTTGATTGACAGCAGCACTTACCTCTTCCCAGGCTGCTTTTGCATCATCGACCCGTGGAGGTCTGTTCGCGTGACCATATATCCGGCCACTGCGAGACTGGACCTCCCGGACCAGAGCATCAGTTTCCTCCTGAGAGAAGTTTGGCTGTCTCGCACTCGTTTCCATCTCGGCCATCTGTGAGTCTGCTGCACGAAAATGCCAATGCGCCTCGCCGACGGCGGATTTAAAGGCGAGGAGAGGCGGTTATTTGATTGGCGCAAATTGGACTCGGCTGTGTTAAACCCACTTCACACCCTCTCTCCTCCCCCTCTACGACGTATGCTGCTGGGAGGAGCTGAGTTAGGGAGGGGGGATACTTACGCCGGGCTGCGCGGCTCACCAAAATACCAAAATGTGCTTGGGAACGCCTTGTCAGCGCGGCGGATCTGACTGACGCTGCGCTTGCGGCACGTCGCCGGCGAGGCACCAAAATAGAGCCCATAGTCTTAATGACCCAATCTTCAATGTTCAACAACATTATAAAAACCTTCACATATTTATATCTTCGTTTGAGGTTCTCCCACTTCCTCTTAACTTGCAAGGACGTGGTCTTCTCTTGACAGTACAGCACTTGTCAGAGAGAAGTGAGACAAAAAGTCAATATAATGTCACATTCACACACAAGTATACAAAGATTCATAACCAATCACATGACCTATAATTTGACATACTATAGGCAGGTATAACAACTTGAGCATTTGGGGGTCTTTACCACCATCCAGCAGCAACAGAATTCTTTGCTCCAGTGAAGAGGTTCTCACTCTCAGGATGTTGGATGGTTATCATGTACTTCATAAAGAAGTTTGACTCATTATTTATAAGAGCCTAAGCTGACTGCTGAGCTCCCTCAAAGCTGTAAGGGTTTTTATAAATATTAATAATAACTCATTTACTTTTAGAGCACTTATCCAAACATGGTTACAAAGTGCTCTACATGTAGAGTACATACAAACAAACAAACAAACAAACAAAGGCTACAGATCAGATTCAGGTACAACATAAACAGTGCTACAACACACTAGAAGCCTGTTGTGTGTTATAGCAGCCCGGGGGGAAACTTCAAGCCTATTACAGGGACCCAAGACATCTCCCCAAGAGCAAGCACTGGACTAAAGCGATTTAGACCTTAGATTGTTCATCATGCAGCATCTAGTTTGCAGCATATTTGCCCCATACACATTTAAATTGTCTCCTTAAACTTAGGAAATTGAAGTGGATGTCAAGTACGGAAGCTACAATTCGCAACAGTTGGCACATGAATTGCCTGCACAGCTTGAACAGGGCAAAAAGGCTGATTGAACACACACAGGCATCACCTGCAACCATCTAATTTTACGCACATTTAGGACCGTTCACAATGGGCTTTAAGCTTTGCTTCACTTGTTGACATGAATTAAAATCCAGTACTTACACGTAAATGTGAGACCTCTTGATTAATGCCCTGCTGTGATGTGTACATTTCTGTTATGTGAAGGTGCACTTTTATGCATGTCTGATGTCTCACCCGAATGGTGCACCTGTGCAGCGGCATGCAAAGGATTCTGGGGATTCCAAGGCCATGAAGTGTGCATTAATGCAGGCTTGAAAAAGGGGCGAGGGCAGAGTGGTTTTGGAGCCGCATTATAAGCGCGCTCAGAATCGCGAGCCAAATGGGACACCCTTAGCGCCACAGGATAATGTCACGCACACTTGAAATCCGCACTTCAAGTGTGCAGACCCTGAAATGAGACGCAGCCAAAGAAACACATAGTCTGAATACATGAATGAATGTGATGCTATGTGTTTGAGATACCAATGCAGAAATGATAGAGTTATAAATATAGTGTCTGTCTTTACAGCACACTCGCAGGGTCAAAAGGGAAGCGGACATAAATTATGGAGAGGTTTGTGATGAGAATGTGCTTGTTTTACTTGGTTTGTGACAGCTCTCGCTACTGGGGACAACATGAAAGTTGAAACTCCCCCCCCCCCTCAATATTCCAGAGAGCTCTGTGGATATTGGGTTCACTTTGGTAGGTTTGGACCTCCAACAGTTTTGCAGCACATGTTGTGTTTGACTGGCTGCAAGACAACAGGGACGAAGTATAAAATATTCACTATTCAGTACTCTTACTTGGTAGGTTCATGCTGGTAGACTCACAGGTCTTTACACAGCGAGTTCCTCACCCAATGTGAACTAATGCATCAGCACAGCTTTGTGCTTTTATACTCAGAATCAGCCCAGCTGAATCCAACCTGATTAATTGTGCACAGCTGAACCCACTCCTGTTTGATTCTCCTCAGCATGCAATGGAGGGTGTGCCCCATGTCAAATGACCTCTCCAATTGATGATGAGGGTAAAACTCTGGTGCTTGCCCTTAAGCATTACCTAGCAATGAACACTACTAATAACAAATTTAAAAAAAAGGTTTTGCTCACCTAAGCTGATTGCAACTTTCCTATCTCAAGATCAGATTGTATTTTTCACAGTTACAATGCTTTTGAAACCAACCATAAGCTGAAAATGTTTGGAAAGGTTTGAAAAAATACCAATACGCATTCCTGTTATGATAACGCCTCAGCCTATCAATGCCTTTAATGTTCTCCTCAACTCTTTTCTTTTGCTCAAACACCCACTCAATGCTTCCAGTAATTCATATGGTTGAAAACTTTAGAACACTTTCTGCATGGCAAGAAAGGTATTTGAACTTGTTGTGACACCTGTAGAGTAAGGCAGGGTGGAACAAACACTTTGGAGGGAGCACATTACATTTTCAAAACCAGAAAAAAACACTTGGTGGAATCAATCTACAGGTGGCCAAACTGGACACTGTTTTCTCATCTTAATTGCTGGATACAGACTGATAATGTAGTAGTATCTGAGAAAACGTCACCCTATTGATTCGACCAACAAAACTAGCCCTTCAAGGATCAAGTTATTGCTCTGTGTGTGTGTGTGTGTGTGTGTGTGTGTGTGTGTGTGTGTGTGTGTGTGTGTGTGTGTGTGTGTGTGTGTATGTGTGTGTTTTATACAACTGTGACAAAAGCAGCTGGACAATCAATAGTACATGTTCGTAGCTTCATGATACTCATCCACAAAGT